TTTAACTTTCATTAATACATAGGCCTCCGTTTCGTTTCTTGCAACAATAGTTTGTACCTAAAAAATTTATGAATTACTTTGAATTTATTTAAAAATTTAAAAAATGTTTTAACAATTACCTCACGTGTAGGAATTTTTAGAGCTGCTTCTTCTTTAAATAAATGATAAGTAATTATAGATACTTCTTTACCTCCCTTATGTAAAATAATATATTTTACATATCTACTACATATTATATATACAGTCCAAAGTATCAGAGGTCCTAAATGTAAAAAGAATAAAAATTTTACATTGATATTTATAATACTTGTAATATAGTTAAACATAATATAAAAATAAAAGTACCTGTCAATGCTCCATAGATCAAAAATAGAATATTGAATCCATTAATTCTTATATTTTCTTTTATAGATGTAGATGTTTTCCAAGTATCTTTAACTTTTTCATTATACAACCTATACGCCAACCGTATAGCTAATATCAATGACCCAAATCCAACAAATCTCAGGAAATAAAAAGCATAACTTTCCCGCTTGTATAGTAATACATTGTTTTGTATATTTGTATTTGGATTTAAGGTGTCTATTTCCTTCTTTGATTGTGAATCTGATATTTTGTATCTATAAGAAAAAACTATAGCTCTCTTGTCTGAATACATTAAAAACAAAATTAATTTTTATTTTATAAATATTTTTACTATGTTACCTTGAGCCAGTTACTTCGCTAGAATTTTTAAGGGAAGTATGATATTTCTTATAAAATGTACAGTCTTTAACTTTACTATTCCCCTTCAGTCCTTGATAAACAAATTGTAATTTGTTAATTACATTTATTCTTGTACAACTGGTTCTCAAATACAGAAGATTAAACATTTTTACATAGCAACGTTCCTAGATCGTAGTACTTTTATATTCAATCACGGAAGTTTATAATAAAAGTTTGTTGCAAACTTTTCTTTTTATTAATACACGCTTAATTCTTATTTATTTGTTTCATAAAATAAATAAAATATTACTTTCATTTATAAACATGTAGCTGCAACTAGCTGACTACACTATCCGGGTAGAGGGCGCGTGACATTGAATTTGAGCGATGTCGGTATCGAACCGACACTGCCGGTATTTCAGAAAGTGTAATATATATGTAATCACAGATATACACATATACATACATCACAGTGACGTAATCCCATATGGGTGTATGGTCTAGTCTGATACATCGTCCGTCTAATTGTACGTATGTAGAGTCGAAGTGTTATTTTCATGTATATACATATAACCAGCATATACTCTACATATACATAAGCACACAAATACAATACAATTTTTAACACTATGTATGTATTTCAAGAATTGATAGAACATTCTGTATTTGAATTCATTTATTTTCTTTATAGTATTTTTACATACTTTGGTGACTTTAATTTATAAATTGCAAGTTCATGTTGTATACGTACCTATATGTTGTATTTCCTTAACAGGTCTTTTTGATACAGCCTTTCAACTCCAACGTGAACGTTGACGTTTGTTATTACCGAAATGTCAATGGCTTATTCGCTGTTTTTATTAAAATAGACAGTTCTGTAAAATGGGTGATTTCTTGGCGACTAACAATATTTGCGGTCAAAATTTATTACGTTTGGTGTCCCGTGGAAATGCTATTATAGCTGAATTGATGAGATTAAAGGATTATGTGCCAACAGTATTTAGGTTATTTATTATTATTACCAATTATGAACAAAATAAATATTATTCTTATAATAATTATTAGATCTTGATTTCCTGTTGAAATTGACATACTCCTACCGTTTTACAGTTTGGATTCAAAACAGATAATACAAAAGTATGGTTCTATTATAATCGATTTTGCATATTTTAAATCGGTTAATGTTTATGAGCAAAAAATAGAAAATGATCCAGTAAGTAAACAAAATGACATATAAGTTAATATAAATAATTATACTTTCATCTTTATTGAGCTTGATTTTCACATAATATAATTTTGATATTCATAATAAATAGCTATAATGTGTGTGTGTGTGTGTGTGTGTTTTTATATAGATTCTTCAAGAAACTGATGAGGATTTACGAAACAATTATTCGGATATAATTTCTAGATTTTATTTGGCATTTGAAAGCATACACAAGTATGTTACTGATTTAAACACATACGTAGATGAATTGGGAGATGGAATTTATATTCATCAATCTATAGATTCTATCATGCTAAATGAGGAAGGACGGCAATTAATGGTACTGCAGTAAAGCATTATTATCATTAAATCCCTTCTTCTTTTAACACAAGATTTTTAGTTTATAGGATTTTTAACGTGTTTATGTACTATATAAATTTGAATATAATTTATATTTATAGTGTGAAGCAGTATATTTATATGGAGTTATGCTACTTCTGGTGGATTACCATTTCAAAGGATGTATAAGAGAAAGACTGTTGGTATCCTATTATCGATATAATGCACAACGGTCATCTTCAACAAGTGTAGACGACATATGTATGTTACTTCGTTCAACAGGATTTTCTAAAAATTCCAACAAGAGACCTGCGAATTATCCTGAGGAATATTTTAAGTGAGTTATTCAATTTTGTTAAGTTTCCAATACCTTTGATACCTTTCTGTATGAATGTTTTTTTTTTAGGAGAATATTATTGAATGACTCTCTGATAGAACATCTTATTGGACGTTTACGTTCAGATGAAATATATAATCAAAGTCTTGCTTTTCCACATCCAGAACATCGTAGTACTGCACTTTCTAATCAAGCTTCAATGTTGGTTGTTATTTTATCATTTAAACCAAGCATGTTACATTCACATACAGCCATGATGAGAGAGATAGTAGATAGATTCTTCCCTGATAATTGGGTCATTAGCATTTACATGGGAATAGTAATAAATTTATGTGATTGGTGGTCTCCATATAAGGCTGCAAGAACAGCTCTTAATAATACACTTGACTCTTCTAATGTTAAAGTAATTGCGCATAAGTATGGTCAGAAAATGAAGGTAATTATGTTTCCCGTTTGTGAATGTATGTTTCAAATTAATGGACCATATTTTTCTATGTATATTTTATATTAAAAATATATTTCAGAAATTGATATCAGAAACAGAGGAAGTACAATTAGCAGGCACTTTAGATGACAGTGCAGTAGGGTCACTCGTAAAGTTAGTTAAAGAATGTAACGTGACTTTGCACTGGATACTTTTACATACAGCAATGTCGACTATATCGCTAGAGGATTCGAAACGTTCGCGTATGCTCAGGCAGTTAGTAGTGAATGAAAGTAAATATACGACAGTTGACTGTCTTCAACTATTACTAAGTACAGCTCAGATTGAACAGGATGTCAAACAATTATACAAAGATGTACGAGTACAATATTTTTTATATTAACATAAAATCTATGATCTGTTGTATAATAAATTTCATCAATTAATTTTAGTTGTTATTTGGTAAAGAAACTAAATGGCTCAGGGATAAAGGAATATGCGTTGAGAGAATAATAGACCTTGCGCAAATATTTGGAGGTAATAAATCTCTTGATGGTATTGAAAAAAATCAAAATCTACATGCATGGTTTATGGAAATTAGCAAACACATTGACTCTCTACAACAAGAAGATGGAAGGAAAATAGCACAATTGTTACCGGCATTGGAAGAAGTGCAAGGTAATTGCAACAGTATATAGAATAAAAGAATTCAGTGAATTACATTGATTTATAACAAATTATTATTTGAATTGAAATGATTTTAGAATTCCATCAGTTGGAAAATAATTTACATATATCTCAGTATTTAGCTGATACACGGGAGATATTGCACAATATGTTACGTACAGGAAGTATCACAGAAGACACTATGATCAGTTTAAATATAGTGACAGATTGTTGCTATGCATGGAATATAATGGAATCTTTTATTGAAACGATGCAAGCTAGCATAAAAGAATGTCCTCCTACTGTAATTAAATTAAAAGCATTGTTTTTAAAAGTAAATTCCTATTTTTTTGTACTTGACATTATTTAGTAAACTGTATATATTTTGTTATGGAAATATTTATATCTTATTCCATTTCAGATGGCTTCGGCGTTGGAAACACCGTTATTGAGAGTGAATCAAGCACGTAGTGCAGATCTATCATCAGTATCTCAATACTATAGTAGAGAATTAGAAAAATATGCAAGACGTGTCTTACAAATAATACCAGAAACTGTATTTGGTTTACTCGCTGAGATCGTACATCTTGAGACAAATGCTTTCAAGGAAATTCCTACTAGATTACCGAAAGATAAATTAAAAGAATATGCACAATTAGATGATAGATTAAAAGTATTCTTCAATTTCTAATATTTTTTTATGCTTCAAATAATGATGATAAATAATGATTTCATAACAAATGATTTCATAATAATATATTTAGTGTAAAGATCTAACTCTGTTCTAGATGGCTAAGTTGACGTATGCTGTGTCAGTATTTACGAAAGGTGTATTATCCTTGAGAAGTGTTCCCTTGGGAGTGTTGAGAGTTGATTCCCATCGCTTATTAGAAGATGGTATACGACAAGAATTGGTAAAGAAAGTAACAGTAGCCTTGGATAATGGTCTTGTTTTCGAATCAAAATCAAAAGTAAGTTCTAAATAATGTTTACAATTTTTTTTACTCGAATATTAATAATTAGATATTTTTTATGTATCGTTTTAGATACCGATATTACAGAAACTTAATAATTTAGCCGCAATTATGGATGGTTATCGTAAATCTTTTCAATATATTCAAGATTATATAAATATTAATAGTTTAAAGATATGGCATGAAGAGGTAATTAAATTTTTACATATATGTATAATATAAAATGTATAATTATATTTATGGCAATATACGATCACTCCTTTTACTTATAGATAACATACATTATTAATAATGCAGTGGAGGAGGAGTGTGTTGGATCTTCTTGGACTTCAGAAAGGTCATCCAGATATTATCAAGACGACAAATATACGTCTGTATTAGATAATTCTATTACTTTTATTGGCAGACTTGCTCGAGAACTTGTTCGTATAACTGATCCCAAGTAAATTATTTTCTTTTTGTAATTTTCATTATTTTTTTATTTATAATATTATACTTATATTTATGTATGTGCTTTTAGAACAACTATTTACATTGAACATTCTCTTGCATGGTATGATCTCAAAACACAAGCAGAGGTTCTAAATTATAAAATATTTTCAAAAATATTAGAAGCAATAGGCACACCCGGCCTAACAGGACTTGATAAACTTATCTCGTTTTATATCGTCACTGAACTACATAGTTTCATTCATTACATAGAAAGGAACCTTCGCAACAAGACCTGGGCATCTACGTTAGATTACTTTGAACCAATTTTAAATTCCTCAGATACACTTAAAGGTATTTATAAATTAACATATTGAATGTCTATAACTCTACTCTGTAAGGTAATTTTGTTTTATTCATATGTCTAGGTAATATACCAAAGCTGCATACTGCTGTGGCAACTCATGCAAATAAATTTTGTCCTCAATTACTCGAATGGATATTGAAAATTGGACATTGTCAACTTCTTAAGAAGAAAATAGCATACGAATTAAATACTACATGTAAATTTGAAGCTAAACACATGGAGGCGGCACTTCAAACACTGAATGCGTATATATAAATATCTTTTTTTTACAAATTTATTTCACATTCTAGTAATGAATTTTTATATGCCACTTTTTTTAATTTATAGAGCTGTTTTATTCGAGATTAGTAAAGGGAACCATTGTGATCAAAGCGAGGCTAAGAGAAACGAACTCCTGCGGGAATTGAATGTTAGATTAGATTGGGCCGGCATCAGTAATTGTCATAACAATGTCTATATTAAATCACCAAACCTAAATAATATTGCACTGATTTTGTTTTTGCTTACTGTATCGCAATTACCTAAAGTGTACTATTGCAAAAATGCAGGTAATCAGTATTTAGATTTATAAATCTCTCAACATGCAAAAATAATTACAAATACAATTTTATTGTAGGTAGTCTTTTAAGTAAAAAGGCTCAAGATCCTCTGGATGCGATAATATTTACAATCGGAATACAAACAGTTTTACGCCAGTGCTCTTTTGCTGCAATGACAAACTATGTCAAATATCTTTGTACATACGTTATCTCCTGTGTTACACCTGACAGGTATTGCACTCTATGAACACTAATCGAAATGTGTGTTAAGAAAGATTTCTTAATGTTCTATTCAACAGTGCAAAAACCGGGAGTGATGGAAATACCGAAGGGTCGAATACTTTACATATTTTGGAGCTGTTTACAAAATATTCTGGTTTACCACGCTCATTTATACTTAAAGAAATTCCAGCGATTGTCATGGATCATTTTCAAATGAAGACTACCAAATAGCCATATTATAAGATATAACAGAATCTTTTGTATAAACTCAACTTATATCGTATTATAATACGCATAAAGGAATGGATATTCTCTATTTTGTACATATGTTCACATATAAATTTGTATTTTATACATATATATAACAATTGTATGAGTTATTGTTAAATATAAAAAATAAAATTCTATTATTACTATAAAAATTCTCGTTTATTGAATTATCTATTTTTGTAGCAATAGATAAATCTTCAACATTAGTCTTTATGAGTTTATAATTTACCGAGGCAATACTTTAAGTACTCAACAACCCCTGGAGATTACATTGGTTCGACGATAATACTTCCGCGAATGTGTGGGTCGTTACTGCCAACACCTGCAGTGGGAATTTGTATACGCATTGGCGGCTGACGGTGAGATTTGCCGCAATCGGCGGTGGCGTGTCGTTTATGTAACGGTTTCTTCAACGTCAGTCATCTTAAACTATATCTAAACTGCCACCAACAAAACGAATTACAAGAATTGTCATCGCTGTACGGAATTATGACGTATTTGGCTTCTTTTACAGTACATATTTGCTTAAACACCATATTTTAACAAGCGTAGGCGGCTTCGTCGGCTAGAACGGCCGCCGGGAGAACGTTGAAAGCGCCGAAAGCTCCACCGTTTCTATAAATTACTCGGAAACGATGTTTAAGTATCTAATAATATATTTCAAGCGGATCGAAAAATTATACAATCTGAAAAAATAATTTTACATCCGTTAGAATCGTAGTTATTATAAAATATGAATAAACAGGGAAGTATTTGGCGGCAAGGACGTCATTGACGCAGTGGACGCCGACGGCGGCTACAACGGCCGCTGCAACGACGGTATCGGCGGCCTGATACAAAAGGAACAGCGATGAATCTCCAGCTCAGTCTCGCTTACGTGTCGTCACAAGACCACCTCTGCTCATCTATATAGTTTAAATTGTGTTGCTCTCAACTTTCATGGAATATCATGGATTTAAAGAATCTGTTCAAAATTTTGAATTTAAATATTTGTGGAAGTTTAGACATTGTAAAGTTCTTTCAATAACAAGTGCATCTTTCATTTCATAAAATTCACATGTATCTGTATTACGCATCCTCAGTTTAGTTTCATTCTCATTTGATTTAGTATATATTAATAATTGTACTACTATTGTATATTTAATAGAAAAATGTAATAATGTTAATTTATCCACGTGAGTATAAATAATGCGTATGTATTTGTCTTGCGATAGATTCGTTGCTAAATTGTAAGTAATTGATATTTACTACATATTTTATAAGTTCTTAGTCTGTGTAAATCTATACAAAACCGCTAATTTCTTCTAATTTCTATGATCTCGTAAAAAGTTCATCTTCTTCATAGTCGTGTAAGAGTAACATAAGCAATGGAGACGAAATTATCCCATTATTTCCATCACGTTAAGGAAAGCATGATTATAATATTTTGAATTTAAACCGAAACCTGACTTTTATTGACAGTATATGCCAATTCAGTATAATTACTGTTTCGTCTCTATCATTTTATTATACGAAAAGATACGAAAAAGAATCCGAATATGGATAGTATTATCATAATTATAAAATGTTACAATGATTTCTTAAGAAGTATATAGAAATACATGCTACTCTAGGTCTTTGTCGTATCTGTTTGTTTTTTCTGAATAAAAATGATTAGTTTCTATATTAATATGTTTGTTGCAAGGTGGTAAATCGTAACAATTTTTAATATTAGAACACCATGCGGCCGACTATAATCATCATTTTGGTTTTCGCCGCCGGAATGATCGCTGCGACACCTAGACACCGTAATTACTCTCATTTCGTGAAACATTCTGTGAGACCCGAGCGGGTAATTCGTGGATTTAAACCTGTAGTGATGTCCACCGCATACGGCTTCGGAAAAAGACAAAGTTCTGCTGATATTTCGAATATTAATAAAAACGAACGTATCTTATTTACGCTTCTACGATATTTCCCTCAGGGGTATGTACACTAAGAAAATTTCAAATAACTCCCTAGTCAATTATTTTCAAATTACACGCACACACACATATACTTCATACGTTCAACGTTCATATAGATTTTTCGTTTCGCAATAGATAATATTAACAATAAAAGTTCTGTATAGAACAAGGTTTTCATTTCAAGATTTTGGCGTCCAGACTTCAAACTTTAAACCGCGTCAATTAATACGATTCACAAAGTTCTCGAATGAAGCATTATTACAATACAGCATTATCACTTAATGAATGATTTTAAAAATCGCTAAAAATATACAAATACCTCGTAACATCTTCGATTGCGTTGATTATATCTTGCTTTTAGGATACCTGTAGAATGGCTGCTTCAACAAATGAAAACAAATCCAGCTATCGCTTCAAAAGTAACCCAATTAATAATGGATGGACGTGCTGACTCAACATCGATAATAGATCGTGTTGATCCTGATAGAACAACTTGGCTATCGTAAATAAATCATTCAACGACCAAATGATGTATAACATTTCTAGCTTATACATTATAATAGTTTAATAAATCTGCGATGATAAGACAATTATTTAGTACCGTTGATATATATATGTGTTTAGTTCAATCAATGTTTTTTTAGAAAAAAAGTTGTAATTTCCTACCTACGGGAGACTTTTAAAACTTGCTGGAACAAAGTTCAATTTTTTCCTCTGTAAAAAAAAAGAACAATATGATTTAGACTCGTGGCGCCATGAACGGCGAAACAATCAAACTAACCAATATGCATGCGGACGATGTAGACTGTAGTCTACATTGTAGAATGTAATCACCGTTTTTACTTCTAAAAGGCATTTCCCTTTATTTTAAGCGCTTGATTAATTAGAACTGTTAAGTACGTATCAATAAATGCATTAATCAACAATTGTCGGTAGAATTCTTTTTTATGAGAAATTTCTGTAAATAATGGAGGACGTTAGTCAAAATTTTACCATGAACTAAGTTATGATTAGTGAAATGCTCGTATACATACGTACTACATATGTATTACACTTCGTAAAATTTTTATCAAATAAATTGGATTGCTTATATTGATATATCATAAATAAAAAATAAAAACGTCTTAGAAAGTATCGATGAATAATTTCGAGTAAATACACTATACGTTTGGACCATGAACTACATAAATGCAGTGATTAGAAGAAATACTATGTCATGCTACCGAATACTGAATATTCCTAGAGTACCGAACTGTACATACATACATACATTATACATAGCAATATGTATCGTATTGCAAATATCGTGTTAGATTTTAAACACCAATCGATTACTACACAGTATTGATAAAATAAGGATGTGTGACATTTATAAAATTGTTATCAAAATTTTCAATTTTCTATGTGACTGTGATTAGATTCTTTGAATGAAGTGTCGGGTGAAGAACTGATTAAACAAAGCAATATTCACAAGATAATTATATACCGTTTTGCAACAGTTTATGCATTTTACTTGTTTAACCTTTTTAAAACTGATATATTACATGCATCTTTGTTTGTAGAGTAAATTTTTGCTGCGTATCAGTTAACCGGAAAAAATACACGGTTAGTTCAATATGGTGGAACGTTTTTGATACGCAGACTGTTTTCTATTTTCTTTTAAAAAACGGTACATATTGATTCAAATTTCTATAAGAAAATAGTAACTAAATGAATACGTGAAAGCTTGGTGATCATACGGTTTCATAGAAATTAAAACAGCTGACGTGTATTTCATAACAATCTACATTTATTTGAAATGAATTGTCTTCATCGTAACGATTACACATTTTGCGAAAATGACGCGTATGTTATCTTTTTAAAATGTAACTACCGTAAAAAAAAGAGTGTTGCATTATTATTGTGAATCGTCAAATTCTATAGCCGAACTTTTGTAAAACTGCTAAACCTTGATATAAAGTTGTGATAAGTTCAGAGAACTGTCAATAATATTTATGATAGCACATTGTAATTATTATGTACTTTGAAGTGGAATCTCCACAAAAGTATCCAATCACAAGCATGTGAGTAACATTGTATTATAAGTCTTTTATATAATTTTAATATATTGACATTATTCTTGTTACTTATTCTATTACAAAACTGTTTTTTAAATATAATATCTGTACCTTTTGTAGGAATAAATCAGTGGAAGATTTATTAATCTCTAGTCACGATGTAATTACTAACATAAATTCTGCTGGATTAGATAATCAAAATTCAGCCACAACTAGGGGAAATGGTACATCCGATAATACCCAAGAATCACTAACCGGAGCATGTGGAGAACGAAGTAGTCCTGTTTCAAGTCCAAATTTATCTCCACGTCCTAGTCCAAAAGCCCGTAATAAACGAGATCATTCTAAATCAAATAGCGATTCAATTACTAAAGAATCTAATAATGTTAACAAATTGGATGAACACCAGTCGCATGTAAGATTTTATAACATTTATTGTACTTTTGTTTTAAGGTATTCACTAATGTAATGTATTGTTTATATTTAATAACAGGATGCAGCAAATAAATCATCGGACTCTTCTCAAGCTCTAAAAATTCCACACGAGGGAAAAAAAGAAGTTCGTGGTGGAGAGCGGAATAAAAAGAAATCGTCTTGGTTCAATGTTTTATATCCAACATATAAATCAAGGTCTGAAGATTTTAAACGAATATTTAAAACTGTTCCAGATGATGAAAGATTAGTGGTTGGTAAGTAATTTGCTAATGATACATTGTTAATAAGAATAAATATTTCTATTCTAGTGATTTATTTTTATAATATAAGTTTTGTAAATGTGAAAAAGTGTTTGCCAAAGAAATATTTAGTTCTGATGAACAACTAATACAACATTTACTCTTTAA